TCGACTGTCTTCCACTTTGTCTGATGTAAGAAAACAGGTTGTAGCGGCACTTCCGAGAGAAGCAACGGGTCCACTACACCGTCTGCAACCAGTTGACTTTGTGGTGGTCAAGGACTTCAGGAGGAAAAAGTTGGAAAGCTAAACGTTGGCAGGGTCCATTCCAGATTCTCCTGGTCACCCAAACAGCGGTCAAGGTAGCTGAAAGAGCAACTTGGGTCCACGCATCCCATTGCAAGAAGGTTCCAGATCCAGTACCAGCAGTGGGCTCAGGCGACCCTACCCCCACAACAAGTGTCAATCAACCGACACCACCGATCCAGTGACCACGGACGGGCAGTTGACCGACAGACACACAGTGCATTGTGATCTGTGTTGACTGTCTACAACGCGGGTGCCTCACAAGAAAGAAGGTTGGCAGACTCCACATCCCAACGTGTACCTGCGGACCAACACAAGAAGAAGAACACGGCCAGGACCCCTCCACATAGACACAGTAGTCGTTTGTGCCACGACAGTTTATTCATATTATTGCTTGCTTCTGTTTCATTGAATCTCAGCATCTTTTTGTGATTCCGTAGTCCGCTGCCTAAAAGAGTGGGTCTCTCTTATCATGGAACGACAGCGTTCATGGAACCCCCTCAGACGACTGGGGGGGACTCGTGTAACCATGTGTTTATTTGCAGGTGTCACTTTATTTGTGTTGATTCCATATTTTGTCCTCCACCAGAAACATTTAGACGACTTACTTGACCGACGCAACAACTCAACTCACTCTAACTCGACCATTCGCAACCGCACCAAGCGAGCACTGACCCGCCAAGACAACCGGTTCGAAAATGGGATGAATCCATTGAACAAATATTCTGCAAATATGTGGTGGCGCTATGCTCAACACGTAGCGACAAAAGAAAATGCTTCCGACTGTTACGTATGTTCTCCGCTACCCATCAGCACTAATCAACCACGGCTAGCCGTAGCCCCCCTGGGGAAGTCTGAAGGATGTTTCTGCGGGCTCTCGGTTAGTGGGTGGTATGTGCCCCCCATAGTCCTGTATATATCCAACGATAGCGACAAAGATTCTTTGTTTATTTATGAGTTATCCCCATGGGAAACAATAGATGATTTGGACTGTGCACAATCTCACGATATCAAACGATACACGGCTAGCCAAACGTCTACATTCGCACTCCAGGCTCAGGAAAGCCGAACACGGTTTCCTCTCTGCTATGCTCGTGATGGGACACATCCAGTGGGGAAAACAGACCCTGCAAGGTGTGACACGATCCTCATTGCAGGAAACCATGCGTTTAATGATTTAAATTGCAATAAAGACCATTTCCCAACTTTCCGAAACGACTGCGCCAAAAACCACAACAGGAGCTTTTGCCAAGCTAAGGGCACCGCAGAAAGGGCCGCAAAAGTGCCCATTCATCTCCAAAAATGGTCATGTTCTGGCTGGACTTTCACTCCAGTAAATCCACGAGATTGCCCGCCCGATGTTAATTGTTCTGTTTTCCATTTCACTTTCCTCCCTGGGAAGAACGGTACTTATCCAGTGACCGAGGGATGGTGGCTGTGTGGCACCACCCTCCGCGTGTCTCTCCCCCCTCAGTGGAGCGGAATATGTACTCCTGTTCGCGTTACTGATCATACTTTTATTCTCACAGCTACAACAGGGACAAGCAAACGAACAAAACGAATGGCCGCATTGGACACTGGCCTTAACCCGGAAGTCAATTTTGCGCCACACGACTCAATCTGGGGCAGCGATGTGCCTGACGAGTTCAAACACGCCAGTACGTCAGTTAAAGTTTTGTGGGGACTGTTTCCATGGACAGGAGTGGGAAAAAACACGCTACGACTTGAAACCGTTGATTACCGTTTCAAAAGCTTTGTAAACATGACTCTAGCTGGCCTTAAGGGTATTCGCGAGGAAATGACCGCCATGCGTTTAATGATCATGCAGAACCGCATGGTACTAGACCAATTGACCGCTGCCCAAGGAGGTGTTTGTGCTATCGTAGGAGAATATTGCTGTACGTTTATCCCTGAGAATGACAAAGACGAAGGCATAATCCATCAGGCGATACAAAACATGACAAAACTTCAGGAATCTATGACAAGAGACAAATCTCCCTCCCCAGATTGGCTCACACGGGTGTGGTATTCATGGAAAGGAACACTAATACAAGCAGCTACTATCCTCTGTGTTCTCTTCGCATTCGTAATTTGCAGTATCCCATTGATCCGTCATACGATTGCCCAACTCCTGGCGAAACAAATGGCTATGTACAGCCTGGGGTCACCTGATGACTCACCACCAAACTTGTTCCCTAGACGCGACTCTGACAATAACCCCAACAGTGACTCGGACTCCCTTGACGAGCTGAACACTTACGACCTCGACACATACGCATAGTGACATAGTGACACACTGTGTGTGCATTCCTGGTGTTCTAAATGTTCTCACAAAAACAGCTTTTATCCCTGCATTTATTAGTATGTAACGTAAATATGATTGATATAATGACCTTTCAACAATATTCTATATCTGAGGCGGTGGATATTGTGTGAAAGGGGATCAAGTTCTGGTATTGTGATTTAAACATGTTTTCATTTCTTTTTTATTTCAATACTGTACACATGACATCTGGGGTGTAACGCTCAAATCCTGTGAGAAGGTTTCCAGTCTTTATCTTCTCCTAACAGATTTCTTCCTATTTTCCCATTTCGGAGGGTTTTTTAGGGAGTTTTTGTTCTGTGGCAGGAAAAGTTTTGTGAGCGATGTCCAGATGTTCAATGTTTTGTGATATTTGATGTGGCAGATTATCAGCTGGTAAATTTTTAGAGTAGTCATTCTAAATTGATTGCATAGTTTGTGATTATTATGTAATCAAAAGAGTGGAATGTAATGGTAAAATGATATGTGACCCTTTTAAATGCTTCATTTGTATAACCAGTTTATTAGTTGCAAGTGCTTAGGTCACAAAGGCCCTGACATACAAACTGATGTCTCCCACTTGGATTAGAGGTTTCCAGCGTCATAGCTGTAGAGATTGAACAAAGTGTTTGTTATGTCTATGACCACCTTTGTTTAAGCATGTTGGGAGAGCAAGGACACGGTCAAAGAACTGACGTGTCTTACATGGACAAGATGTTCCCAGTACCCTGGCTGTAGAGACTCAACAAGATGGTTAACGGTTTCTGTTGACGCCACCGATATCTAAATTTAGGTATAAGAACTGCCTCGATGTGTTGGGAAGAAAAGGAGGTTCTTGACAGTCTACTGACCACGTAGCTGTTGTGACCCTTTTTCCCTTGCAAGGAAATAAACGGAGAAAAGACATACTTGACTCAGAGCCTTTGATTCTTACTTAACGATTGTCTGTGCAAAATCTTCCACCACAGACATGCGTGGCCAAAGACAATGACGCGACCCGTGACACAAGAGACACACGGCTTAAATACACAAGGGAGGTGCAGGTGATTGGACACAGGTGGAAACTATTAGACGATCACAGGGGATGACGGGACAAGGCAGGAAGTGAAGTTACCCGGGGACACAAGTGGCAGAAAACTACAAAATACAACAGGAAGTGAACCACACCGTGACATTATCCAATCGGATGACTAGGGAGACAGTTAAGTCGGCAGGTTCATAATGAGCAGCTAGTTCATCCTTCAACTGATCGTTTAGCCCCTTCATGAATACTCCCCGTAAGGAAACATCATACCACCCTGAGTCAGCAGCCTGCGTCCAGAAATCCACAGAGCAACTGAACGATTCCCTTGCCGAAGGCTGAGGAGCCGACTAGAGGCATTACCACAGTGATTGGGGTGGTCGAACACCGCCTTTAAGCGAGCTTCAAAGTCTTTAAAAGTCTGTGAATAAATATCCAAATCAGAGATCATTGCTTCAGCCCAGACCAACGCTCTGCCTCGCAAAAGTCCCACTACATAATTAATCTTAGCTGCATCAGAGGAAAAGGAAAGCGACCGCTGACAAAAAATTAATCCACACAGGAGCAAAAATCCCCGACACTTTTCTAAATCCTGTTGGGATCTCCGATCCCCCCGAGTTGGTTGATGAAAAGGATCACAGCACGTTGATCAATTACACAAGCACATATTTCAGCGCTCGGTGTAATGGCGTCTCCGAGCAGTAAAAACACTGCTTTTTTACACATAAAGACCATCCTCAGTGCCAGTTACGAAAAGCTACAAATCAGGTTGAGATAAGAACCCAGGTGAAGATGAGGGTAACACACACTGTTCCTTTGTTCGAGCGCCTGTGAGAGCAAGTTAACTCCCTTCTTCAGACACAGGTGCAAACCTTAAATCTTTCTGTCTTTGCACATCACGGTCAAATACAGACACTTGAGACCGGGTTTAGCACAAGACAAATGTTACAACATGTTTTACCATTACATGCATCTCACAATCCCCAGAAAAGGTTCAGGATCACATAAGTCTTTGGGTTGGAGAGCTGCCTGTGATGGCGTGGCCTTCTCCTGGGTAGTTGCCACTGTCCGCAAAGAAGAGGCAAGATGGACCATCTGCTGGGAGAGAGCGGTGACGTGAGCCGAGAGATTCTGGTTACTATCAGCTAGCCAGCTCTTAACAGTTGTTCATGTGAGCCAAGTAAAGTCCCCTGGTGAGAAACAGCTTGCTGGAGTAAGTCCCCCTGGGCCCAAACTTTTGAATGGTAGTGTATACTTAAGCAATAAGGTACGAGAGGCTGTACAATAATGTAACTGCGCGTCGAACCTAACAACCGTTTTATAAATAAATAGTGAATAGCTGCTTTTCAGCACAAAATCTAACCTGTTACTTTGAGTGTGCAGTGATATGGAATGCTCGGGTCAATGTGAACAGCAACTATAGATTATCACTGAATAATGCACACCCAGTGACTTACTCTCAACCAAGGATATGGTTTCAGGATATGTTTTGGTCATTGTGAAGGACACTTTTTTTTAAGACTCAATAATGAGACACAATTCAATACTGTCATTTTATTTGGCCAAGATATGCTGATTGAGATATGCAAATACATGCAGAAATGATGTTTTAGTGTGTCACACAAATTCAGTCCGTTGTAGTAGAATTTCCCTTCCATGTGAACTCATCTGGGTGTCAGGATCCATGTCTGACCCATTGTGTGTTTTGCCTCCATTTCCCCCTAAGACTCTTTCATGTGTCGGTCACCCCCTGTTTTGTGTTTTTGTGTGGTTTTGTTTTGTTGGTGTGTTCCTGGTCCCACCTCCAGACGTCACCGATTCCCAAGAGGTGCACAGCTGCGACCAACTCATCACTTGCTGTATTCCAACCTTGGTTTTGCAGGCCTGGGTTGTCAGTCCGTTTTGTCTTTTTCCCAGAGTTCTTTACTCCAGCTGCCCCCGGGTTCAAGCCACAGGAGTCACACTGTGATCTGCCTGAGCCGGTGTCGGACCTCGGGCTCTACACTTTCTTCTGGTGCAAATAAAAGATGATGTTACCCGATACTGGCTCCTGTGGTCAGTGTTTGGGTCCTAATCACTGTTCTCCTGTGACACCGGGTAGCAGAACATTTTCTCTAATAATGTAACCTTAAATGGTGCACAAGCAGTTATCTTAATTTCTTTAATATCATAATTTGACTGAACCTTAATAAAAACTGTGTAGTAAAAACAGAAGCTAAGATTGTGAAATCATATTCTTCATTCTTTTAGTGACATGACAAATATATAGCACTCTTCTTTTTACCTTATCTACACTTCAATCATGTCTTTTTTCTCAGATATCGGGATTCCAAAAAAAGTATTTCAGTTCAAGAAACATGAGTGGTGAGTTTATTCGACAGGTTGTAAACAATCCAGAAACTTAAGTAGATTGGCTAACACCTTATTTGGAGGTAGAAATTACGTTGACCATACCCCCAAGAAGTGCAGTGACAGATGTATATTATTGTTTTGGCTGAGGTCATTTTTAATGTTACCCTAATAAGAAATAGTGGCTCATCTTGCTTATTTTGAAAATAAGCAGAAAGAAATGACATGAAAGTTAAAATCCTTTCTGAAATTAGAATTTCAACATATTCAGAGTAGCCCTACCTTCCCAGATAGTGTCTCAAAAACATTGAATACAACACGCTTCAAAATTTGAATTATTTGATGCGATACAGTAACAGTACTAATACAGCCAGACATACAGTATACAACAATCCAGGGTTTCAAAACTTAGTGAAACAGAAGTAAACCGCATTTAATTCACATATGCGTGAGATGAGATGAGCGTATGGCAAATATGAATGTAATATCATTATCCAAATTAAAATCGCGCAAATACTAGTCAGTGAAATTATCATAAATATTTTTTCATTAATCCCTTTCAAATGAGGGTCATGATCATTGCATAACAACCAGGAATTCAATTTGGTCATTATCTTTGTTCTTGAATGCCTCAGCTATGATCTGGGCAGCAACCTTGTGTTCCCGACCTCTCAGGGAAATTCCATTGACCTCAAGGATGACCTGACCCACCTTCAACTGACCACAGTTATGAGCAGAGCCTCCTTTCTGTCAACAGGGAGATAAAGGAAAGGTAGGAGAAAAGGCAAACAATAATTTTAATATTTAGTAGGGTTGAAGCTTTATCAGGGTTTACTATACTTGAAAATATCATTCTGTGTTTTTGTTCTTGCCTGTTTACTGTAGTAGAAACATTAGAATAAACTGTGGTTGACGCCCCGCATCTTGACCAAGCCATAGGTACCTAATAGTTGCTGAAGTCACATAGGACACGGTAGTGTCTATGTAAGTTGCACTTAACTGTAGAGCCATGCACATTTGAAGACTTTTCAGAACTCACTCTTTGTTTTGCTTTTTACTTCTCTACATTTGACTGTATATCTTAATTACAAAGAGTTGGTTATCTACCATGCAGTTTGCCTACGTTGTCATAGGTGGCTGTGTTGGCAAGCAGCCTGCACTGCGAAAATAACTATATTCTTCAGTCATGTTTAGTCTTTTTAGTCTATTGGGATCGACTATTGGGATCTCTGGAAGGAAGAGGGCAATAAAACATTGCTGTAAGCATTAGCCAAGAGGCTAATTTTCATCTGTAGTCCCAAGGCAGATGTTACAAAGTCATCTTTAAAGCACAATATACCAATTGCTTTACAAAGTAATTCCGTTCTATGATTTAAAAAGCATGAAGAAACAGTAAAACAAGAGAGAAAAGTGATACATGTAGAGAAATCTAGGACAGCATTACACAAAAGTACTAATAAAACATGTTGGATTCCAGAACAACACATACAAGGCCAATGAATCATTGAATAGAAATAGAAAATTTGGACTATAGAATATGTTGCATTGTTAGACAGGAAAAACATATATATTAGAAGCACAACACATTAAAGCAGGCACAGTATGCCATTTCCAGACAGACAGCAGAAAGATTGAGGACAGTAAGGATCAGTTATGTTATAGGGCAGACAGAGCTGGGAACTCTCCAACCATTTCCGTAAATGAGTTTTAAATAAACATTATGTGTTTAGTTCTCAAATGGTCGGAGAAGAGGTCAAGTCGTATATAATCTTGAGATGAGACAGACATTCACATATTTAACATTTTAACTAAGGGTTAGTTTGTGGGCAAATGTGAGAAAGAATGAATTTTTGTCAAGGATTTTAATCGTATTGTGTAATGTATAATTGGATAGAGTAATTAAAATGGGAAACAACAGGCATGCCTTAATTTGCATAGTTTTGTTTTAATTGCACTTTAAGAGATTAAATTTGACATTGTTTGAGACCTTTTTCACCCGGGACGTGAATATTATTTGAAATCAAAGTATCCATACATACCTGTATTCAGGTACAACCTGTAGCCTCTTCTCAGATAAAAAAAAACATCTATATGTATACGACCAAAGTTGGTTTTGATATAAAAACTTACATAACGTTTTGGAGTTGAGTTGTTAACAGCTTTGCCTCAAACATTGCTGCCTGAATTATGGAGTTAGTTTTCAATGTGAGTAAATTATAGTGTTACCTGCACACATTTGGATTTTGGTGTCAGGACATGCTGATGGCAGATCATTGCTATGTAAAGAAAATAACTGTCGATAGATCCTTGTGGGATACCTGTGATATGGTTGTATAGAAGCTATGACAAATCAATTCATACAGCATTAAAATGATAATGAAATATTGATAGTATTTACAAATCACAGTCCTTCTGTCAAAAATTATTATTCTTTATTTTAGTTTTCTTTAACGAGTTGGCAGATTTCATACTTGACATTTAGAAAGATAAGAAAGGGAACGATCTGAGTGGATGACTGAGATCAATCAGTTGTAGTAAGTTTGTGTGGGTGTGTTTACGGTGTCACATTACCATTGGCTCTTCGACAAGGCCGCCTAACAGAGCCACATGGGTTAATACATCCTTTCATTCGTTGATCCTTCCTCCTCTCAGAACAAACAAGAAAACGTATTTGCTTTATTTGCTGTAATATTTAATAATAATAAAAAGTAACAGCAAAAAGCATCAGTGTTGGGCAGGCCAATGATAAAGAACAAACCCACTTTGTTGTGACACACACCAACTTCCAGTTGTTTTTTTACAACTATCCAGGAGCCACTTAAATACAGTCTTGTGGCCCAGACAGCAAGGCTGAGATCATAATACCTCCTATTGCCCCTACAAATGAAAGGGTTTCATCAATAGGCAACATCAGCATTTTGTTTAGTTAGCGGAGTTCAGTTGGTCAGTTAGTACTCAACATATATGATATTTGCCTAAAGAATAACAGGGTTATTGTATTTACAGTGCATCCGGAAAGTATTCACAGCGCTTCACTTTTTCCACATTTTGTTATGTTACAGCCTTATTCCAAAATGGATAAAATTCATTATTTTCCTCAACATTCTACACACAACAACCCATAATGACAAAGTGAAAACAGTCTTTTGAAAATTTTTGCAAATCTGTTAAAAATAAAGAACGAAAACATAACATAACAATACTTTCCGGATGCACTGTATATCTATGAGTACAGGAAACTTCACATTCTTTTTGATGCCAAACACTTTTGATTTCCAGACATTCACTTTTTGGCCGAAAAGTGGTCGAGGACAAAATTGACCAGCGACTCCAATAAAACTGGACATACCAGCCTTCCACTGACAGCCTTTTTTCAGCCAGCATTCTCCTTCCCTTCTGTGCTATACGTAAAGTTTAGTATTACACGCTACCAGTTCCAGCTGTGAGATATTGGTACCGATGTCTATGCATAAGGCATTCGTAAGTCTATGTATTTTACTTTTGTATGTATTTTATTTCATTTTTTTTACTATCTGGACCTTGAGTCTGAAAAATAAGTTTGACTATACACTTTGCAAGTGTCACTGCACTGCATCTTGCTCAGCGCCGCCCTGGATGACTGAGATTGCCAACTTACAACATATCATGTCACCATGACAATAAAAATCAGATTTTTGAAGTTATATTTTTTTTATTACTCCCTAACAGGAAATGTTTTACCAGGGTAGGAAATTTATTTATAAAAGGCTAAAAAGAGAAATTAAGTTATATAAAATCAAGAATGAATATTTAATATGACTTTAAGCATTATATTCTCCCTCATCGGAGGGTTTTTCAATTTCAATTTTTCAAAGACTCAACATTGGAACAAAACAATGGCTTCAAACCATGAGGCAGCCAAACCCTATTGCATTACTTGCTCACCTGAATAGTGACTACGCGTGGCAATGGTTGACGCGTGTTTGCTCCACCCTCTATTGCAATTCCAAGAGTGTTGGCATTTTTCACCACTCGTACCAAGGTAGCTGTGGGAACTGGGACAGGTGAGCCAGTCTGCTGGGAGACAAACAGATTACCAGTCAGAGATAATATGAGAACGATTGAACCTGAATTACATTGTACCCTGAGGGGCAGGTGGGGAATTATAGGGGAGAGATATCACTACTAACTTGTTAGTGTGCATATTGTCTTGTTTGAAAACACTTTATTTTGTCCCTTTTCAAACCTGTATACATTAAACTAAAACATGCTTAGAATTTGTATGTAGATGGTTTGAGTCAGTCTGCTCGACCGAGTGAATGGATTAACAGGAAGGCTGTGCCAATATAATGTTTTTTCATCCGTTTGGAACATATCCACTACACCCTAAATTTAAAAAATGAAAAAGCTCAGGATAGGGTACATGTTTTCTGTCTTCATATCAGACTGCAACCCAATGCTTAATTTAATGTACATGTCCAAAGGACATTTTTCTTACACTGATGTCTATTTGTTTAAACCCACTGAAGTACCTGAAAACATTTTGTTAGGATTGCAGCAGTCAGAGTCTCATATCTCAGTCGCTTCTTTATTTCAGAATTTTATTGCAGATTGTTACCGTTTATGATGTTAATATTTCTTTAACTTGAATTTTTATGTATAAGATACTTTTAGGTTGGGGATTCCTGATAATTTCTAGTCCTACTTCAAAAGTTAATTCACAGATTCCCTCATACCCAACACATCAATCTTCACATCTGCATCCTCCTAAAATAGTGACTAGATAAGATTTAGGGGAACCAAATTATGGAATCATTTTTCCCACAAAAAAATGTCCCTATAAAATGTTTCAAAAAGTGCCTTAAAGAAATTGTCTCACTTAGCATTTCACTTAGGTTTTTTGGTTGTATATTTATGACAATGTGAATGCCTCACTTGTCTGGTCCCTGGGTGTTCCAGATTGCTTTGCTGGTTCTTGCTGGGTTGAGAGCTGCGGTCTTCTTTATTGAGGCCTCCTGCCTCAGCTATATCCACCCCGCTGTCCTCGCTCAGAGTTTGGCCACTGTCTGACAGCTCGGACAGGGTGGCAGCTGGAGGAGACAAGAGAAACAATCCCTGGATAAACCAATATGGGTAGGATCAGTTTTTGGATAATGGATATCTTTTATTCATTCATCTTATCTGAAGGGAGAACCTTTATTTGAGACTTATTTTGGAGACCGGCTTTTTATCTCATATCCCCCTGTATAATTTCTTGACATCGCTCCTAGCGGATTGGATCTCCTAGACCTTTTTCAATTTTGTTGAATTGACAACTGTTTTAAGTGAGAATATTTTTGATCAGTGGATTACTTCATAGGTGAGTTGTTTTATTTTTTTTTCAGTGGTCAGTTGATTGTACCTCCTGTTGTGGTTGTATCTTGAAAAGGTTTCCATTATTCAAATGAGAATAATCGTAGATCTACTGAGATATGTTGCATCAGTAAATTCCTTGCAGTTTTTTGAAGTAGTTTTGTAGGGCCGTCTGACATGTTAAGTTGAGGCATACAAAAGATGCCTCAACTTAACTTGATTCCAGAAGATGTATTAATGCGGAAGGAGTCAACACCCACAGTCAAAAACAAACTCTCTCACGGACACAATTTTTGTATAATACCTCTTTGCTGTTGTCTGGAGTCTGCAGACAGCCGGTTCATGTTTGTTATGATGAAGTTCTTGGTGAGGACAGGTAAGCAGGTCCGGATAGGACTACAGGGTGCAGCAGCAGGTGACATGAGAGAGGGGCAGGGGGAGGGACATGGCGAAAGATGTGGTGATGCGTAAGGTGATTGCATGGGTGATGCTGCCCTGGAAGATGACACAGACTTTGACAAGTAGGAGGACTTCTCATAGGAGGTTGATCTGGAAGTGGGTTTCACAGATGCCTCTGGCTTAGGACAGCTAGCAGAATCCCTGTAATGCAAGAAGCCTGGGCAGGTGTTGTATCCTGAATTGGGTGGGCCACAGAGGGCAGCCTGGTGGTGGAAGTGATGAGCAAAGTGGGGATGGTTGTGGTGTTCAGAGAGTTGAAGGGAATTCTGGCAGGTGTTATGGAGTGCATTTGGCAAAACGTGGGGGTTTACACCAGAGCATGTGTGGTAGGCAGAGACTGGTGAGAACTGGTGGGAGGAAGGGATGGCCTTGAGCGACTTGTGGAGCAACTCTTGGAGCAGCCAGGTGGAGCCAGTAAATGGTGAGCTGGAACGGGGCTGGAACTGCTGAGATGAAGGCTTTGGGCCAAGCTCTTTCCTTTTAGACCTCTGAGCCTGGAGAAGAGCAGTACTGAAGATTGGAGAAGATTCATTTGAAGCCTGCATTTCATCCTGTCAATGCAAACAAGGCAACAGAATATATGAATTGACATTGATATATAATTATTTAGCCATATCCATTATGTTGGGCTCCCACCATAGCGTAAAACCAAGGTCAGTTCATTCCAGCATTTCTGCTGCAGGACATAACCCCCAGAAGGAATGTGCCTTCACACCTAGGTGTTATTTCTCTCTTGGTGAAACAGCCCTGAGATCTGAGCCAGAGACACCACAGGGGTGCCCCTGCAATGGACTGTGGGCTTCCCCTCTGCAAACTTTCTCTCTTTCTCTCTCAGTCTCTCTCTTCAACTTTCCAGACTGACTTCTGGTCAGCGTAAGGTTAAGACTGCAGTATCTCCTCAGATAGATCATTTTGCCGAATCAACTTGCGTCAATGAGAGGTTGAAGACAGCCTCTCCTGAATCAAGCTTTCCGTACTAGCCTTTGCCAGCGCAACGTTAAAGACAGTCTCTTCAAATCTACTTTCCAAATCGGCTTGCGTCGATGACAGGATTAAGGATTTAGGCCCCTCAAACTTGCGTGTTACAAGAGCCGGAACAGCTTTTGTGCCACTAAGAAGCCCAACAGTTCTCATGATCCCCGCAACACAGGACCAAAGGCACACCGAGTTAAGACTCGAAACACAGCAAACCCTATCAACGCACAGTAAGGCTAAGTCTGGGAAGCGCATGTGTCGTTATTTTTGTTCTTGTTTACTGTATTGATTAAAAAGGGAGTATGTGTATGTTTATGAACTGCGTGATGTTATAAAGTTAACCGCTATCGTGCCTCACTGTTCTGAAAAAGATCTGGTTTACATGGAGGTGTTCCTTCTTTGATTTCTAATTTACTAACCAATGCACCTGTCCCTCCACACACATATAGTTACGTACAGACAGGTTTAACAATGTGAGGAACACATGTGGTGTATAAACACAGCCTGCTAGTAACATGGCTTGCTATGTGGTCGGTAGCTTAGTGTCCAGCTAGCTCCCTTCCTGAGCTCTCCCCTCCTTATCTGACAGACACACACACCTCCCTCTCCACATGCATGAATGAATGTTTTAATTTGTTTAGATATTAGGATATCGTATGATAGCTTCTTTATTTCAAATGGTATTGATCTGATTAGTATTGTTGAAAGTTAAACCCTGTTATTACTTTAAGGAGCAGTTTTCTGTGATTTCTCTGTGCATATGTGTACTGTGGTGCTGGTTGGAAACATAGTCAGTATACAAACTCAACCCCTCAATTCCTTGCTCTTAATGAGTGATATCAATTATGAGACTTGACGTATAGTTTGGTTATTAGTCCCTTTTTAGGGTGGTGCCCATTATTAATTTTGTTAACAAAATTATGTCCGGTCATAGGGTTACAAGACCAGTGGGTTTTATTTATCAAGAAACCGTTTTGTAATGCACCCTGTATAATTATTGAACTATAGAATATTGCAGCGATTCCCAAAGTGTGGGAAGGTACTGCAGGTGGGCCGCGAGAGGTCATTTACAATAAATAAATGAAATATTCTTAATTTTCAATTTTGAAAAGTTTGAAATTAATATAAAAATATTTTTATTTTGGCCTTGTTGGCTCCTGAAGAAAAAAAAAAACGCAAAGTTGGATAGTGGTCTCGCTCTTTCCTGTTGCGTCTAAGACCTGGTCGTAACATTAGGGTTGAAAATGTCTGTATTTTACTTAAAACGATATTTGATAAGATACAAAACGCACATCTTTTTCTCAGTTTAAGTATTATTTGAACAATTCTGGCAGCACATTAGTTATGTGAAACATTAATTGATGAATCACAAACAATTTAAACGAACAGATTAATAAAACAATAAGGCTCTCGCTCGAAACGGCTGCTCTTGTCCGCCTGTCGTTATTCAACAAAAGGCACCGCCAAACAAAACAATGTCAAATGGGGCGCCCCATTGTAGTATTACATTAATATATATGAGCTCCGGAGAAAATGGTATACAAAACATACATTGTCGGTCAATACATTTTTAATCGGTTAAATTCTTAAGGTCATTTAATCATCCCTAGTTTATGTTTTGATCAGAGTTGTGATTAAAGGTTTGGGTGGGCTGCAAAAGATATTCAGATTTCTAATTGGGCCGCGGCATTCTTGAGTTTGGGAACCGCTGGAATATTTTGCATTCCTTTGATTTGGACAGAGATGTGCTATTTATTTCCCCCTCCAATGAAATGAAATCCTAAAAAAAAGAATTGGAAGCATAACATCTTCAAACAATTACACAATGAGAATCTTCAGTACTGTAAATTCACCTTATTGTAATGCAATACCAAAACTACCAAAACTACCAAGACAACAAAATGCAGCTTAATGTGTGGAGAAATGTACTTGTGTAAAGAGGTCTATAAACAGTCAACCGCCACTTTAATAGGTACACCGGTTAATTTTCTTTTTAACGTACGTTACTATTTTCACAGTGATTGGGAGGATGAGTTATTTTTACTACAGTTAAAGACAAATGTGCGACAAATGTGCAACTGTTGCGACGGCAAAGCGACACAATGTGGATAGACACTTCAGTACGTGTCACCAAAGCTACGATGCTAACTGGCAGCCAAGTCAGCTTTTGAACTGACAGTGCACTGAGGAAAGAGAAGGCCTGTAACCTGAAAGCCGCTTTGGGCCAACAACAGGCTTTCTCCACGAGGCCAGTGCTAAAAATCCCAAGAGGCGACTGAAGTTTTGTTTAGCGCATTTTTTTATGGAGAACAAGAAAAGCTTTTTCGGACGGCGAGGTCTTGAAAGAAGCAATGATGATCGACGAGAAGAATGGTCCTGATGCCCGGGGACACTGAGTGGATATTTGACCTTGTATTTTAAACCTCCCTGGAAACTGATCAGAAGGCAAAGGTAAATCTGTTGCTGACAAGATATGTGCTGTTAATGCATTTAAAGCTAAGATGAACATGTTCTCTGTGCATTTACAGAAAAAAACTGCTGCACTTTCCCTTCATACAGTGTTACATGGCAATGCTTCTGCATCTGGGGCTTTTGACAAAGCTGTAGAAAAGTACTCTCAAGTCATGTAAAGACTGGCAAGAGTTTGAGAAGCCATGTTTGTCATTCATTTCACACACTTTCATGCAATGAATGCACAATTCATATGACATGCATTGCTGAGCAGCTATGTTCAACTTGGATACTGGACAGGCGGAGATTGAAATTGTAACACTGCAAAATAAACGCCACCTTAAAACCAGCAGTCTGCGGCAAACTTTTGGGGCCTTATGGACACAGAGAAGTGCGAGGGTATATGCACACATCTTTGTGAACCACATTACAGTAGGCTACATTGATGAACTGTATGCAATGACAGGCTTCCCACTAACAGACATTTACAGAAAGACTTAATGGTTTCATTGAAAACACCATGAACACAAAACTATTGCACAAAAATGTGAAAAGGAATTGGTCCAAAAAATGTAAAAGATGTTAGGATTTGTTAAATGCTACAGATTTGATTATTAGTGATATATATGTAAACGAAATGTGATACCTCTGACTCTTGCTGAAACAGATTAACAGAAATAAATGTTGCATGTTTAAATATATGTTTTTCCTACTATCATTGTTGTGGAAATCATTGTTAATAAGTATTGAGTCAGACAATTAACATTCATATATATTCACATATAGTGTTTTTATTAAAAGAAACTTTATTAATCAGGAAGTTTGTATCAAACAAGTCGCCCGTCCTAAGTCTGTATCGCTAAAGTAGCTCTGAGTTTCAGAAATGTTGGTGAGCCCTGCTCTAATAGAATTACGGAGCCACAACCGGTGCTATGCATCTGTGGGCCACATCTGTCTGTTAGGGCCAGCTCCTACTTTGCAGTGAGATTTGTCCTTCTTATATCTAGCGTATTGTTTGTTTAACCAATGACCTGTAACTACATAGGTCCAACCATACTGATGCATATTTATTATAGACGTCCCCATTGAGAATTCCCTTTCGCCTGCTGTCTTTTAGAAGTACTGCAGGTCTTTGTACAGCAAGGCAAGTAGCCTAGTGGTGAGGTATTCTGTTTACGAAGCCATACTCTGCTTTGAATCCCACACCCGGCACTGATTTTCTTGTCTTTTTTTTGTCTGACCGCGTGTCCGGCTGACCGTGGCCCCCCCGACATCCAAGGGGAGGCTCAGGCCCGTTCATCGCTGCTTGCAGCTTTAATTAGAGCCCGAGCCAGCCATGGAGGGCGAAGGCCCTATTGTGTTTTGAAGAATTATTAGGGCCTGAGCCAACTGCAAGTCGGGGAAAGCACCATTTGTGTTTCGAATAATTACTAGGGCCTGAGCCGACTGAAAGTCAGGCAAAGCCCTATAGTGATTCGAAGAATTATTAGGGCCTGAGCCGACTGCAAGTCGGGCGAAGACTTATTATTTCGCCACTTTAATCGCACTTTTGAGGCCTTTCCCATACTCGAAAACACTTGAATTTTGGTGTGCGCATCGAAATTTCGATATGTTTGGGGTCACGCATTTGGGGTTTAAAAAGCATGCTTTCTTGCGCCCCCGGGAAGGGAGATTTTTGACTACTTTCACCGATTGACCTGAAATTTTGCACACAGGTGCTCATGGATAAGCTCTACAACAAAGTCAATCATGGTATGCAAATGCACCTTACTAGATTCTCCGCCATTTTGAATTTTGTGAAAAACACGTTTTTGCGAACTCCTACCAGACGCTGGGTCAGATTTTCGCGAATTTCTCAGGGAATGATTATTGTCTCAATGCCATCTGAGGTATTAAAAGCTTGTGGATATAGCATATTTTATCAAATTTATGCACCAATGAAGTTTAAACGGGGTGTGGCCTAATAGTTAAAGACCTATAACTTCAAAAGTAGTCATACGTTTTGCTCACCAAATGTCAGCAACAGATTTGATTAATAGTAATCAAATAGCGCCTTGTTTGACCTACATGTATGACGATTTTTGGGCATAAGTAAAACAGGGACCATGCTCTAAAATCAACAGGAAGTCAGTTATACATTTTTTCTGTGAATATTCCCTCTATTTTCTGCACTTTATAGACAATATACTTTGACGAACTCCTCCCTGGGACTTTGTCATAGCCGCTTTTTCACAATTTTGAGGAAACAGTCCCACAGGCCTTGGTGACTTAAAGACTTTTTGTTTTGTGCTACGCTGTTGCTGTGGGAACCAGTTCTTCAAGGTGAAAACGGAAGTCCTTTTGAGGGAGTAAATATGCTCTAATCTTTACTAAACTTGGAAAACACATTTACAGTTAAAGATGTAGTTACTTCATATGATTTCAATGCTTCCAAACAGCATTTTGGCTTGATAGTGCCCCCTACACGTATTCATAACCTCCCTCCTGGCAGGACTTCCTCCTACAGCTTTACGACCTCTGCAGCTCATCCAGAATGCAGCAGCTCGACTGGTCTTTAACCTGCCTAAATTCTCCCACACTACTCCACTCCTCCGTTCTCTTCACTGGCTACCAGTGGTTGTCCGTATCCACTTCAAAACATTGGTGCTCACGTACCATGCTGTGAATGGATCGGTTCCAGTCTACATCCAGGACATGGTCAAACCTTACATCCTAACCGGCAAACTCTGCTCTGCATCTGCCAAACGGCTTGTTCCTCCCCCACTGAGAGCAAAACACTCAACAAGATCACGACTCTTTGCTGTCCTGGCTCCTAAATGATGGAATGAGCTCTCTGATGACATCAGGACCGCAGAGAGTCTTCACATCATCTGCCGCAAACTAAAGGCACACCTTGTCAGACTATACCTTACCAATATACCTATAAAACACTAAACGAATTGTATCACTTAATCGTACTTATAATGGCTCTCATCTATAGAAAGTTGTAAATCGGCTTAAACTGCACTGTAAGTTGCTTTGGATAAAAGAGTCAGCTAAATGACATGTGATGTAATCATAAAGCAGCCCCAGCAACTGCTTTGATCCAGGTGCACTCAATGGGAGGCTACAGCTATGATCTAGCTGTGCAGATTTATCCTCCATATCAGCAGAGCAGGCTTGAAAATAATTAACCAAGTTGGTCAAATATATCACTATGACCAACATGATTGGACCTCTGTCCACATCCTCACTGGAGAGAAATTATCCCATTAAGGGGGTATGGGAAGGTGTCCTGTATCAATAGCTGTCAGGCTACAATGGCGGACCCAAATGCACGACTCAGGAAAGAGGGATAAGGGTAATCGGTTTATTGCTCCCAGAATAATGCAGGCAACGGTACAGGTCCAACAGGCAGGTAAACGTGGTCGTAGGTAGAGGCAATAGGTCGAGGTACACGGGAAGACAAACCAAGGGAACGCTGGAAAGTGAGTCGACATGGAGCTACAACAATCTGGCAGGGGACCGGTGAACACGAATGAGTCTATATGCACGGGGGAGGGGAAGACAACTAGACACAGGTGAGTAACATCAGAGTGGGGACCGGCAATCAACGGTGAGGAACAAATAAAGGCAGGAAGACAAGTGACGTGAATAGAGACGAACAGTAGATGCAAAATAAAACACGAAGTTCATGAAAACAGACGGAAAACACAATAAGAGCGGAGGCAGATGTTACAATATCGGTGTTATTGGTAGTATGGTGTGTGTGTGAGTGTGACAAAGCAAACATTTAAAATATGCAATTCTTCGGTCCAAATCGCTGCTTTTTTTATTAAATATATTATTATAATATAGATTTTTTAAATAACATCACACATGGTTCATTTTCATCTAACACTAAATAACATTTTCGGTCAATACGGTTGATTTTTTTAAAGTTATATAATAAATAATCAATAAAAAATAATACAAAGTGTATGTACATAAACTATGTTTGAAACTGAGACACTCTTACACATACTAATGAAACACTCGTGCGCATCTCACTAGTGCATGTAAGAGCATCTCACTAGTGTGTATGAGTGAAATCTCACTGGTGGGTATAAGTGAAATCTCACTAGCATACGGAAGGCATCTCAGTTACACCGGAAGGCGGAAGCAAAGCGGGTTTTCAACAGCGAAAAGCGCCAATCTTACCCCCTTCCTTAATATGCTTTTAAGTCCGGACTCGCCCGTCTTTATGTAGGTCCACGTCTATAAATACTACCATATTTAAGTGACTGAATGTAATTTTAGGACTTTTTCAGACTGGAAGTTAGTTGTTTAAGCAACATTTCTGCGGTCGGTTTGTCAACATTCAGCCTTCGTAACAATTTGCTCCGAAGATGTCCGCAAAGCAGACAGTTGAATATTCATGTTCACATTCGAATAGTTGTTATAGAATATTCGTTGACAGCTTAGTGTAAACATGTGGGAATGACGTGGAAAGGCTTTGTATGACCATCCGATATTTTTTAATGAACGCAAGGTAGGTTGCTCATATGATGGCTTAATAATGTAACGTTAAGTAAAATAATTAGGGCTGTCATAATGAACGTGTTAATCAATGGGATTATTGCCATCTAAGGTTATTTATTAACTTCATCGAGAGCAACACTTTTTAACTTAACTTTTTAATACAATTAATGTAGTCCAGACACAACACGTCTGCGTGCCCGCAGTCAGTTAGACGGGAGAGATCGACATAGCAGTTGAAGATGGAGAGAGCTTTTTGCATTGGAAGTAAAACAAACAGAGGCGCGACAGACACTGGAGAACTGTGCAGAGGAATTCCTCCACGTGTCAAACAGAAGCAGTGAGTGGTAAACGGACCACATTCGTACTGATAGTGCCCGTAACATGTTGGTAGCTGCTTGGCCAAGCTACGCTAGCTGCTAGGCTACTTCTGTCAACGTCTACCCTGCAGAGAACCATCGCTGTGTCACTGACAGACAGTAGTTGAAACGTTTGGTGTTGCAATACAATACAAAACAATACAATAAAACTACAGCATCTAAAATACATGCTGTCTGAAGTGAATACTCGTTAATTTATAACATTTAGTCTTGAGAATAAAAACATACTTTTAATCGTGATTAATGAATTTAAAAATGTGAGATTTGTTAATTTTTTTTTAACCTATTGATTGCCCTGATAATAATGCCAATGATATTCTCTTTTTAATGATGTCCTGCTTAATGCTGAGTGTTATGAATACTATATGAATGTTGGACACAATGAATCACCTTTATTTTAGCGCTGAGCTCAGCGGGCTGTATAATGGTAATGGGAAAGACTGCTGTGACTGTCACAGCTGTGAGTATAGCTTTATAGAATAAGGTTCTCCCAACGCTGAGTCGCCACCTGCAGCTTCCATTTCTGTATTATCAGGCTGCTGTTATATGTATATTGTGCTTCTCCAGTTGATTCAGAATGCTGCAGCATGTTCATTAACTAGAACTAAGAAAGGATTATACTACTTATATTATTAGTAGCTGCTCTGCACTGGCTCCCTGTTAAATCGAGAATAGTATTTAAGGTTCCTTCTCCTTATTATATTTTCGCATTGAGTCCCTGAATATACCCTCATTTTTTCAGAATATTTGAACTTCAGGGGGCGCTGCTCTCATTCGCTGAATATTTGCTTGTTCTTCCAATTTCCATAGAATTTTAGATTTACAAACTCCTCAGAGTTTTAACTCGATAGTGCCTCCCATTGGCAAAGGAAAATGCAAAAGTTAGGAGAAGTGTGATTAGCTCCCGTTCTCCCCCTTGACTGAATGGAGGTGATCCTACATATTTCAATGACTTTTGGCAGTTCTTTGCACAGCAAGGCAAGTAGCCTATTGGTGTGGTCTTCTGTTTATGAAGCCACAGACCCGTTCAAATCTCAGACCCCAGACCCGGCTGAGCCCTCTCCGTCCGTCGGGCAGCCCCCCGACATGCAGGGAGGCTGAGGCTGTTGGTCGCTGCTATAGCTTTAATTAGGGTCCTCGCTACGACTAGTCATAGAGGAACCTATTTCCTGGAATTATTATTATTTTCTCTAAGGAATGTTCCCTTTTTAAGGCCTTTATCATATTCAAAATTTGGCATGCATATCAGATCTGGTGGAAAATTGTATAATTTGGGGGTCTCTCATTTAGGTACAGAGAAATGTCTCCATAGCGCCCCGTATAGGACCACACTAGGCCAGATTTCCCCCCCGATGCCTGATTGACTTGAAATTTGGCACACATGTGCACTTGGACATGCTCTACAAAAAAGTAAATCGTGGTATGCAAATGCGCCTAACTAGATTTTTCGCCATTTTCACTGCAGTTGGGGCAGAAGCAATTGTTTGGACTCAATACACAAGGAACACCACTTGTAGGCCAGGGAATTCCATAAAAAAGTTCTAAACATAATGGGCAATGACTTTAATTTGAATATTTACTGACCTTCACTATACAATAGTCAGGAAGGTTGGACTCATGATGGAGAGGAAGATGTTCAAGACAAATATCAAAAAGTTTTGTCAGACTTCTATGGTCCAAACTGCTGCAGGAAAAAGAACACCCTGGCAAAATGACTAGTGTCAGGAGGCAGAGACAGGGGAATGGGAAAAAACACACATGCACACTTTCAGTGATCTGTGGTTGTTGTGAATAGATATGAAATGATGCATTGCATGATACAAGCAAAGCTTAAACATCATGGGGACAGAACATAGACATTGTGGTCATGTCAAGACACGTCATTGCCTCAATCATGTTTTGATCATATAAACACCTGCTGCCAATTATGTACACACTATTACAATGGATGTCACAATTTCTGTAAAGTAGATGAGGGATCTACCGTAGAAGGGACAGCGTGATCTGCATCATGGACAACAGACGCCGAGTGGCTGAAATTGACATGAGGATTTGGCGCTCTCAGGCCCCCATGCCAGGTCTGGTTGGCCTCCCTCTCACGATGTGACACCAGCTTGTCGTATAACTCAAGGTCCTGGGGAGCCACCAGACTCCTCAACTCAAATAACATTGACAACTACAGGAGAGGATGAGAAAAACATCAGATAAGAGTTTGTATGAGGGAAAGACCGCACAGCTGCCAAGGTCAGGTATTGGTGACAACGTTACTACTTTTGTTATGATTCTTGCTTTACTACATCCACTGCTGTGGTTATTTATTATTAGTAACAATTTCTTAATTATTATTCTCTTACTATTCTTATTATTTAAATCCTTTCTGTCAAATGCATTTCTGTAATTCTTACATTTCTGTACACATGGCATCTTTTGCACTTCTGTCCATCCTGGTAGAGGGATCCTCCTCTGCTGCTCCCCCTAAGGTTTCTTCCTTTTTTTTCTCCCCGTTCAAGTTTCTTTTGGGGGGAGATTTTCCTGTGTCGATATTATGGTTTTGGGACAAAGGATGTCACATGTGTACAGATTGTAAAGCCCTCTGAGGCAAATTTGTGATTTTGGGCTGTAAAAAATAAACTTGAATTGATATTGAACTGAACTATACTTAACCAGTGAGACATCCAACATCTAAAACATACCTTCTTTTAATAATACCCCAACTTCTCAAACTTGGTCCAGAGGTGCAGGGAAGAGTATTTTTTTAAATATATGCAATCACCCATTTAATAAAAATTGAACATAGCAGCCAGATATTTAAATCTTTCTCCCTTCCTCTAGTTATATAAATAAATATAAACGCCATGTAGTGGATTTGTTTAAACGATCAATGGGTGCACAAGCTCAAAAAATGAAGCTCCTATTTCCTGAAATCTGCTGTACCTTTGCATGTGTATTAAATAGCTCAAAAAGAGCCATGGCCAGAGGTTGCACTTCTATGTGTCCCTCCTGGTACTCCTGTAGGTAGTAGGCCATCGTTTTCCTCTCTGGCTCTGTTAGCAGAATGTAGGCCTGTTGCTCCAGAGCCACCTGAGCCTCTGGCGGGTCTCCACCTCTGCATACTGCTGGCTGCAACAGAAATATCAAAAGACAAAAACACAAATAGAGGGAGACGATCACAATTAGATAAAATAAGATTATCTCACTCTTCAAGACCAGTAGCATGCAGATGGAAAGTATTCAGGTGTGTGAAGACTTTCCATCACCTGAAAACTGGAGGCAAGTCAGTCAGAATGTGTTTATTATGTGTTCATTATCCTTAAAACCAGCTCAACTTGGAAACCACTCTTCTCGCAGTTGGTAGTTGGTAGATAGATTGAATATTAGTCTGGTTGAAGTTTGCAAACTTCAACCAGACTGGGAAAGCTGTTAAAAAAAACAAATAAACGACTCATTAGATGATTTGTTTAAAAATCTACATGTTGCGCACTGATGTTGAGACATAAACGTGAAGACACGACAAAATTAATTTGACTGAAAAACTAAGGAGCCAAATCCATGCCGAACATTTCATAATTGGGAAAACAACTTTCAGTTTTGGTTTGAAGATTGAAAAGTACAACTATGTAAAAATAAGTGGACAAAAATATTTTTGGGTTGAATATAGTTTTGACTCGGTTCCTTAATTTTCTTTGAATAAAGTTGAATTTAAATAAAGTAATTCTTCACACATATTTTTTTATATTCATGTTTTCAGAAGTTTCAAATCTTTTTTTCACTTTCGGATCGTATTCTTAACATTCAGACTTTCACAGCCTGACATATCTCAGAGTCAATCCGAAGATTTCAACTGGGAGATATTGCACAAAACCAGGATACGGCATTATGCCAGAATATTCAAGTTAGCCTGGATGAATTTAGCTTTGACTTGGTTCCACGAAAGCAGGTTAAATTAAACCCAAGTAATCATGGAGATTTATTCTTTGCATCTAGCCTGCTCCAGACCAGGCTAACAGCCAGGCTAAGATTAATCCTGGAGTCTCATGTGTTAAATCAGCTGCCACACTAATCCGAAATAAACTTATTTAACAGTTGAGGGCGATATACAAGTCCTATTCACCTGTGTTTCTTCCTGGACCATGGCATGCCCATTTCTGAACGCCGTTTTGGATGAAGAAGCACTGATATTGAGACACGCTTTCAGACGTGAGACGGTGTTTCAGGCCAGATCAGACTCACAGCGCTAAGCCATGCTCTCACCATCCCACAGATGGTATGGCACTGCGTTTCTTTGCCAGAACCGTAAATAAAAGGCCCTATTTGTAGTCAGGAGTGGGTGTTTGCCACTGAAGGTAACATGAATTATGGATTACAAAAAGGTTTAGATAAAATATGTGAGCAGGCATCTTGAAAGTAATTTCTACATACCATTTGCAAAGTTACCAGCCTGAAAAATGTTTTTATATTTTATCTTGACTTGTGGCCAGGATCCTTTTTACCCAGTCATGTTTGTTCTGTATGAACATTACTTGTAGAACCATATTTAGAATTAGACACAGCTCAGTCTCAGAGATTTGTGCAAATGGTTGTAAAACATGGTATGGTTGTATCTCGCATTGTGAATAAGTGTTTGAAATTAGGCCTAGTCTTAGCAAAGCAATTAAAACAGAATGTACAACTTTCCTAGTAAGTTTTCAATGATCCTGTATTTCTTTATTCTACTTTTGTGTGATAACCACCCGGAAGTCGTGAGAAGCCTCTCTTTTGTTCTTTTGCTTCACTCTATCAAAGTAAAACCTTCAATAATGACATTCGACAACCTGGGCTTTGTCTTAAATGTGTTTTAAATGACATGGACTTCAGAAAACTACCAAGTTCCTGCACAGTAAAACCAGCTGTGTACTTCGACCACTTCACTCTATTCGGGACATGTGCTACTGAACTTGGGTTTTTCATTTTTTGGGGAGTTTTTCTAGTGCCGATATGAGGGTTTTGGGACAGAGGATGTCGCATGTGTACAAACTGTAAAGCCCTCTGGGGCAAATTTTTAATTTGTAATTAGTGCTGATATCAAAAAGTGGCAGGTGGTATGTTCCAATCTCAGAACGGCATGTACCGAGGTCAGGATTAGCATGCTGCGTCATGGGCCCACCTCAACCATATACAAATCCCACGTCAATTGAAGGGATCTAGCTTTTTCATCTTGACAGTTTCCTTCTTTGGCTAAATGCAAGGCTTTAGAAGATGAAGTTGACTATATGTGCTCATATAGCCTGAAACGGGTCATTTGGCCAATGTAGCCAGTCTGACTACGTAATGGTAAAATATAATCAGAGGTGTCAAAAGTATTCACATTCATTACTCAAGTAAAAGTATAGATACTAGGGTTTAAAACGACTTCTGTAGAAGTTGAAGTATCAACTCAAGGGTTTTACTTAAGTATCAAAGTATGCTCATCCATTGTACATGTGTTTTGTGGACCTGGAGAAGGCGTTTCCGATGGGGGTCGGCCTTCGCCAGGGCAGCGCCTTGTCACCAATCTTGTTTGTGGTTTTCATGGATAGGATATCGAGGCATAGTCGTGGGGAGGAGGGTCTACAGTTCGGGGGGCTGCGGATTTCTTCGCTGCTTTTTGCAGATGATGGGGTCCTGATGGCATCTTCTGTCTGTGACCTCCAACTCTCACTGGAGTGGTTTCGCAGCGGAGTGTGAAGCTGTTGGGATGACGATTAGCACCTCTAAATCTGAGGCCATGGTTCTCAGCAGCCGATGGATTGCCTACTCCAGGTAGGGAATGTGTCCTTACCCCAAGTGAAAGTATAGATATTTGCGTGAAAATGTAAGGAATAGAAGTAAAAAGTCGTCTGTAAAATAAATACTCAAAAGTAAAGTAAAGTACAGATATCCAAAATTTCTACTTAAGTGAGGTAACTAAGTATTTGTACTTTGTTACTTGACACCTCTGAACATATTGATACCATAATGTTGTATTAGATTAATGTCTAAGACCCCGTGCAGACGGACTCTAGTTTCATTTTTTACACCTACCCACTTTTTAAATCGCGTGCACATGAACCCAGTGAATCCGATTGACTCCGCTGTAGTACATCCCCCACGCCTGTTGTTGGCGCTTTAAGGTTGCTACAGACAACTGAAGAAGAAGACAGGAGCATGCGTATAAGACATGCGCGCCGTATACAAACGAAAACTCCACAGAAGAAGACGACGACGACGACTGGGTTGGATTGCATTCAATCACGTGATGCAATCACGTGGGGCAATCCGATTAGGTATGCGGATAGCGTGCAGACCAACACCAACAGCAATCGGATTTTGAGTTTACTCACTTTGGACCCCCGATTCGAGGGAGTGCGGATACAGTGTGCGGTTACAGTGCGTTCGTCTGCACGATAGGGCTATCCGGAGACGGGGTTCACCGGGTTCAGGCAAACTAGAGTCCGTCTGCACGGGGTCTAAAGCCAATCATGACTAATTCTGAGGAGGTTCCTCAAAAAAGGTGTGAATTTCTTCGGCCCCAGTCCTAAATCTTATCAAACATATGTTGTAAGCACCTTGGATTTTCCATCAGGTCTGGGACCTCTTTGCCTCCAACTCTTTAGCATAACAAATCCAAGGTGTCGGCGTGGCACAGGGGGTAGAGCGGGTGTGCTGGGAGCCGCAAGGTTGGTGGTTTGAGTCCCGGCTGCCCCATGTCTCAAGTCGAAGTGTGCAAGACACCTAACCCCTAAATGCTCCCCGGGCAAAATGTAAAAAAAAAAAATCCATGGGTTTAAAGTGGAATGTAAGTCGCTTTGGATAAAAGCGTCAGCTAAATGACCCGAATGTGTTAACCCTGTCAATGTATAAATATATCTGTGCTCTCAAACATTGAGAAGACGCTTGCCACTGCCTGTCGATGTATAGCTGTTGCAGACTTCTTCCTTGCAAGAAATAAACGGAAAATACAACTTAGAGACTTATTCACATGAGATTTTATAACCAATTCCCGATTGCATTATAAAATCTTTCACAACAATTTGGTGTCAGAAGTGGCATCGTTTGAAGCTCCATCAGGACTCGGAGGACGTCCAAGAAGAGGCCTCCTCTAAACTGGAGATTCCAAATGTTTTAAATGCATGGTAACAGATTACGAAGACGCAATTATAGAACTTCTTCAGCATGCACCGACACAGCCACGCCAGATGGACCAAAACTTACTAAAGTTGACTCCCCCAATTTTCTCTCGGGAGCAACATGAATTAGGACAAACTAGCAGCATATGTAACCTTGCTTACTTTCTTTTCCTGAATGTAGGTAACACAGTCAGATAAAGCGTTTTTAAACTGTTCAGTCAGGAGTAAGGAACATTTACAGTATTAACAAATATGTTAGACATACAAGGAATTTGACTTGGCGGTTGGTGCATAACATCAGACAAGGCAAGTAGTGCAATAGGAATTTAAATGAAAAATACGTCAAAAAATAAAAAACAGTAAACAGAAAGTGACAGTGAAAGTATGTGTAAGTGTATGTGCATGTGTGTGAAGGGAGTGACCGGTGGAATGTCAGAGTCAGTCAGTGGGGGACCCGAGCACTATTGATGAGCCTGACTGCCGCCGGGAAGAAACTGTGTGGCGGGAGGTCTTGGGCCTGATGGACCTCCTGCCAGATGGAAAGCGCAAAAACTAATTTTGTTCGAGGTGAAAGGGGTCGGTTACAATCTTTCTAGCTTGCCTCAAGGTCCTGGAGAGACAGCAGATTGCAGCCGATCCCCCTCTCTACAGAGCAGATGATACGCTGCAGCCTGCCCTTGTCCTTGGCTGTTGCTGCAGCATACCAGACGGTGATGGAGGAGCAGAGGATGGACTCGATTATGGCCGTGTAGAAGTGCACCATCATCATCATTGGCAGGTTGAATTTCTTCAGCTGCCTCAGGAAGAACAACCTCTGCTGAGCCTTCTTGGAGACGGAGCTGATGTTGAGCATCCACTTGAGGTCCTGGGTGATGATGGAGCCCTGAAACCGGAAGGAATCCGCAGCGGTGATGGGGGAAGGTGGGACTGTGTTCTTCCTAAAATCTACAACCATCTCTGCTGTGTTCAGAGCGCGGAGCTCCAGGTTGTTTTGGCTGCACCGTGTCACCAGATGGTCAGATTCCCACCTGCAGGCGGACTCATCCCCACCAGAGATCAGTCCAATGAGGGTGGTGTCATTTGCAAACTTCAGGAGCTTGACGGACTGATGGCTGGAGGTGCAGCTGTTGTGTACAGGGAGAAGAGCAGAGGGGATAGAACGCAGCCTTGAGGGGAACCGGTGCTGATGGTCCGAGAGGCTGAAACATGCTTCCTCAGCGTCATGTGTTGCTTCTTGTCAGACAGGAAGTCAGTGATCCACACAGGTGGAGTCGGGCACGTGCAGCTGAGAGACTTTGTCCTGCAGCAGAGACGGGATGATGGTGTTGAATGCAGAGGTGAAGTCCACAAACAAGATTCTGGCGTAGGATCCTGGAGAGTCCAGATGCTGCAAGGTGAAGGGCATGTTGACAGCATCGTCTACAGACCTGTTGGCTGTGTAGGCGAAAAGCAGGGAGTCCAAGGGGGGGGGGGGTCGGTGAGGGTTTTCAAGCATGCTTAATTCCTCAAGGTCCTCCATAGTATCTACCTTTGAAGCATCCGGAGCCAACTTCATGTGAGATTGCCTCTCTTTTTGGAGCAATCTGAACCGCTGGCGTTGAGCTTCCAGTATCATTTCATACATCCCAAGACCAGCACCTTGCTGGAAAAATACATGGCGGAATATTTTCCCTTCCTGTTACATTGGGACTATTCTCATACCTATTTAATCCAAACTCTTTGACTACTGCTCCACCCAAACCCTTTTTCTTTATTCTGGGTGTATTCCCTGTAATACCCAGACTGGGGTGTTTGGTCACAGCTTCTTTTCTGCTGTGTTGTGTTTTCTGTCATTCACCTTGCCTCTCGTTTCAGACACCTCCCTTCCTGTGTCCCGCTGCCCTCGGTGATTGCAAGAACCCCCTTATTGTTCCTACCTGTGTCTCGTTCTCCTGTGTATTTATACTCTGTCAAATGCTTGTTCTGTGCTAGTTCATCTCTATTGTTTTCATGAGCCCACCAGAGTTGTGAAAATCATTTATAATGTATAGATCAAATCACACAATTCAAGGGTCATAAAAAGAAATCAAATGAAGATGTGGCTTCATTTTTCATTTTATGAGTACACCAGTGTAGAATAATGCATGGCTTCCATTCTCACCTTTCCAAATACAGATGTACACTTGGCTGAGGAAGGTCTGCAACAAAAAGGAAAACAATGCTTAGCATGTTTGAGAAACAAATTCTATAAGAGATTATCTTATATGATGTTTTGTAGTCCCTAATTTAGTTTTAAATGAACAGAATTAATTGTTTCCGTGTAAATTTGATTTCTTGTCCTTAGATTCCAAATTCATCCATTAAATTTATTCATTCAAGAACCTGAATTACCATACATATCTGGAAATGTTTGACTATTGACCTTAAGATGGTCTGATTAAGATACAAGCAGTTGCTGTCCGCATCAAACTAGTGGGCATACTAACACGTTAGACCAGAGATCAAAAATGGATTTGTAGTAACTGACTATGTGGTTGTTTCTTGCAGGTTTGAGGTTTGTTCATGAAAAAACTTCATGAAAGTGTGTTATACTCTAATGATAATTAATTTAACTCAGTTGAAATTCAGGATTTAAAGTTTAGTTTGTTCATATACTAACTCATTCAACCCTTGTCAATACTTAACTAAACCAGTAACGTGATGGTGTGAATAAGAGGGTAGGCACTGGAAGCCAGATTGCCTGATTTGTTGTTTAGGCTAACACGTCAAAACAGTACGCACTTGCACGGTCGAAATGAAGAAATTTTCCTCGCTCAGACGCACATGCACACACTTGTAGTTATTACTTCGATCGACAAATAAATAAGACCACAAACAGCATCTGTTAAAGGCAATGTTAGCTTTCACAACAGATTGTCTTTATTGCTTAATTATTCCACATTGGCCAAATATGTTTGTCAGTCAGCATCAGTGTTAATTTCGTCGACGAAAACTTTGACGAAAATGTTTCGTTAACAAACCTTTTTTCCATGACTAAGACGAGACTAAGACGTGACAAAAACGATCTTAAAAAATAAAAACTATGACTAAATCTATTCTAACTTTTGTTAACGAGACGAGACGAACATGTTGGTGGTTGACGAAGTCACAATACTTTTCCCCCCTAAATTGGCACGCAGCTGACAGACAACAGACAGGCAAAGTACGGCGGATATTAACGCGTCATGATGACGTCATCCACGAACCCTCATCACATCGGTGCAGCGGTGGTTCTTGTGCACCGACTACAGACCGCGACGACTATTTTACGCTTCGGCGAGTTTGAATGTGCGCTAGCTCAGCGGTCTCGGTTTAGCTGACTGTTAGCAGGCTGAAGCCGCGCTGCTTCAGAGAAACATGAAGACCCGTTTAACAGACTGTCGGACCTTTCTGTTCTGTTCTCTGGCGACGGGAGGCAGCGTTTCCTCGGCTGGATGAGACGGTCCGTTACAGGCTTCTCCAAACACGTCTAACGTAATAAACTCATTGCAGGTTCTGAAGCCTCACGCATTGACCGTGAGACACACGCAACTATAGTTCACACGTCACATCGTGAGAAGACACTGTTAAACCATCTCGGCCCCCGTACGCTCGTTACTAAGCAACGTAGACGCGTGAACACACGTGTGAAATAATGTATTGCACCGATTGTAGGACGTTAAGGGGTCTCTTTTGTTGGGACAAGCAATTTCACCGTGAAAACAATAAAGAACCATGAAGTTTCCGGTGGCCATGTCAAAAGCATTGCAAGTAATGCATGACAAAGACAACAAAGTGTTGCGTTTAGATCCCTGGTCCTCATGAAGTTGTTGCAAATTTGTTAAATTGCCTTGCAAATAAATGCTTTGCTATTTGTTAAAATCCAAATCCTTTCATGTAATGATTTTTCACATGTCATTTATATTAGCTCACAAACACCCGGGTCAAATTTTATAACCCATTGTGGCCCGCGAGTCAAAAAGTTTGCCGACCCTATAGACCTGTCCTAGGAGGGACATCTGATGGACAACCAAGTACTGCAAGCTAAACTATTATGCAGTTGTAGACACAACACAGGGGGTCCCTGGGCCTGAGAAGGGAAGAAAAGGAGTTTAATATGGCTCTTAAATGTGACTAAAACTAAGAAGGATTAAAATGACTAAATGTGACTAAAACTAATATGCATTTTTCGTCTAAAGACTAAGACTAAATCAAAAAAAGCTGCGAAAATTAACACTGGTCAGCATCAATGAAAACAGATCTGTGAGATTGGGAAAAAACGCCGTCATTTTGACTTTGAATGTCCAAATGTCCAGTAATCTCTTTGATATGTTTGATACGTAATGTAGATGATTACTGGTAAAGCGTAAAAATACATATACAAATTTATTAAATACAAATATTTAATAAACATTGTTATAAATAAACATATTCATATACAACTGCACGTCACTGAACTAAACACACTGTCCCAGATCTGTAAACCTCTTACGGCTGGCACATGCTGCGTCTGCGTCTTTACGCACCGTTGTTTCGACGCACTGGTTTCAATTCATGGTTCAAAAACGCTTGCGCCGCCAGAACAATAGGTGGAGTAACGTTTTATGTCAAATACGACCTAGAGAGTCTTTGCTTGTAGACGTCGTTGGTTAGTTATTTATCATAGATATTATTGCCCCGTGCATCGCCACTGCTGCTTTTCATCGCGGACACATTTGTCCCGTATTTTCCTCCACAACTTTGTGCACCTCTCCACCGGCAAACCGACGTTTGCGGAGATCTCCCTCCATGAATCGGGAGGCCATCCGCACGTCCTTATAGTCCACCAATGACGGGTTGTATAAGTGGTCATATTTACGGATTTTTTCCGACAAAAACAATCTGATCCATTCTCTCTTAAACATTATTCATTTTAATAATTGTGGTATTGTGCTATAAAAACGGAAATATAAAACTACGTAAAGGATGTAGTTAGCAGACCAATCGCAGCCTTGCGGGCTGCGGGAGGCTTACGTAGCTTTTAACGCAAGCCTAGAAAAATGGGTCGACGCACGCAAGGAGGTGTGAAAAGGCAGGCAAGGGACACGCAAGGGGGTCTTGCGTCTGCATCTCCTTGCGTCTCTCTGAAAACGCAGAAGCATAAGCTAGGCTTTAGGAAGACAAAGATGCACAGATTTGTTATTAATTACAATAGTGTCACTGATAATTACTGATTTTACATGGAAAATAGCCATATACAGCCTAAATTTGTATACTTTACTCACCTTGAACTGCAAGCACTGACACTCGCTTCGATGCCAGCATTGGCATTGGGGTTGGTGACAGAATTTGGGATAGCTGTAGCATTGGTTTCAGGCTGACTGCAGATCCATTTGGTTTCATCCACCACTTTGCGTGCATGAGGCAGACGACCAACATCCCTCACCTTCATCAGTAGCTGGTTTCTTGTTTTCAGGATTTTAACTGCCTCATCATGGGAGATGGTGAGAAAGCTCTGATTGTTGACTTCTATGATCTGGTCACCCACCTGAAACAGACCAATCTAATGAAAGAAGCAGTACATGCTTCTCTTTCCTTAGGGCTCCAGACTGGGACCAACATGGTTACACATGTAAAACAAAAATCTGAGCGTGTGAATTTTTTTTGCAAGTGCATTAATATAATAATTAATGCTATTGCAATGATAATCAAACTTTGTAGGAATGTGCACACATGTAAACTGAAAAAAAAAAGTTTCATTTGGCCATTTGGTCATGAAGAAGTGTCTCTATAGCGCCCCCCCGATTGACTTGAAATTTGGCACACAGGTGCTCTTGGTTATGCTTACAAAAAAGTAAATTATGTCATTAAAATGAGCCTTATTGTATTTCCGCCAATTTGAATCTTGTCGAAAGCTCATTTTTTCCAACTCTTCCTAAAGGATGAGTCCAATTCTCACAAAATATTCTGTGGATCATTATTGGTTCAATGTTATCTGAAACCCTATAAGGCTTGTTGATGTCTCATTGTTTTGATAAGATATGGACCAATGGACCAATATGAACCATCTTCTTAGGGGTGTGGCCTAATGTGGCAAGACCCATAACTTCCAAATGACTTGGCCTGCCCTAACCAAATTTGCTGCATATGTCGACATTGCATCCTTAAACATAACCTAATTTTTTTATAATATTTGAAGACTAGGCGGCACTTTCATAAGTTGTGAATATCTACATTTTTAGCCTATTTTCTGCCCATTTTCATCATTCTTTATAAAGTTGTTGAAGACCGAACTAAACCAGATTCTTTTCAAACTTGGCCAGTGTGATCTCGAGACCTTTTGCCTTTGAAAAATACATAGAACTTGAAAAAAAGTTAAACTATGTGAGCATGGTGCTTTGGAAAATTACAAGTCACCATTTAAATTGTGGTTTAAACTCTAAATTATCTAATGTGCTCCAAATTTCTCATAGGTCATGACATTCTTATCCAATCTTAGTCAAAGCGCCACCTATTGGCAACAAGAAGTTACATTTTTTATTTTATACCCTGCTCCTCGCAAATTAATCAGATCCCTCTCAAAAAAATCATGATAATGTTTGCAAAGCGCCATTCCCGATGCCAGCACTGGCATTGGGGTTGGTGACAGAATTTGGGATAGCTGTAGCATTGGTTTCAGGCTGACTGCAGATCCATTTGGTTTCATCCACCACGCGGTTAATGATGACTGACTCGCGGATGCTTTGGCATGCGCAATTGTAGCCATCCGGCCAGTGTCCCGGCGTGCGCGGAGTATCGAGGACCCATCCATCGCTGCTCGCAGCTTCAATTTTATTTGTATACACTCGTTTTTGAGAGTTGCGGCGCAACAAAAGAAAACGTTTAAATCACTCAGTGCAACACGTAGAGGAAAACTTTCCCACTGTACCCAGAAAATGAATGAAATAAAAACAATGATGAAAAAGGGTGCTGATGTTGACAATGTTAATGAAAGTACAAATTAATTTTAAAAGACTGCTGGATGAATTTAAATGAATGAAGGTTCTGACTGGTATGAGCCAAAAATTGCTGATTATGAAATTATTCTGACCGAAGTTGATCAAATAAAAAAAGTTCAGCCTGACCAGAATCTTGTGGATGTTGAGGACAGTGCCTCACAGACTGGCTCAAGGAGTTTTAAAGGATCCAGAAGTTCCAAATCTTTATTCATGGTTTCAGCACACATGAAGATAGCTGCAGACAAAGCTGCTCTGCAGACTAGAGCTAAAGCTCTGAAAAAGAAACCAACTGGAAACAGACAAGCATCAGCTGGGTTTTAAAATGGAATCCCTAGATTTGCAAGCAGATATTGCTGCAGCTGATGCAAGGTTAAAAGCTCTAGATTTGAAAGAGATGAAGCATCAGAATCTGGAAAAGAAATGGAAGAACAAAGAAAGGCATTTGAATAAATAGGAAGTCTGCACGGATAGCAACCATAAAAGATGATGCACACAGACTGGAATGACAAAAGGTTCTGAGCAACCACCAAGGACGGCAAGGGTGACAACTAACCCTCACACGCGCAGAGCTGTTGTCACAGTTTAGGTGGAGTGTGGGGGATGTGGAGCTAATCAGTTCATTCTGTAAACCTGCTGGACACATTCACCTTGTCAGCCCAATCACTCTCACCTGTCTACCCTACTCACTCCCTTCAGTATTTAAACCCCTGTCACTCACTGCCAGATTGTTCTTCCATGCCAACTCTCCAGTGCTTTTTTTCAGACAAATCTCCTGTTGCTGACTCTGCCTGTCCCTCTTTAACCTGCCAGCCCAACTCCCGGCAAACCTACCCACCCTTTGTTTTACCGTTACTCTGCCTGCCGTTTCCAGAGCTTTGAATAAAAGGTCAAAAGGTTCCTGGAGTTGTGTGAGTGCATTTGGGTCCGAACACAAACCGTTACGGCTGTGGTTTCTGATGGACCACGCAGACAAGGCGAAGCTAGTAGCAGAAGTAAACTATAGAGCAGCGATTCCCAAAGTGTGGGCCGTGGCCCCCTGGTGGGCCGTGAAGGTACTGCAGGTGGGCCGCGAGAGGTCATTTACAATAAATAAATAAAGTTTTTTAATTTTTCAAAGTTTGAAATTAATATAAAAATATTTATGATGCGGTACATTAGTTATGTGAAACATTAGTTGATGAAGCACAAACAATTTAAACAGATTAATAAAACGATAAGGCTCTCGCTCGAAACAGCTCCTCTTGTCCGCCTGTCGTTGTTCAACAAATGGGCCCCCTCTTGTAGTATTAAAGTAAATATACCGCATTTTCCGCACTCCAAGGCTTTAATTTTCTAAAAAAATGACAGTGCCTTATAATCCGGAGCGCCATATATATATATATATATATATATATATAGATCAACCGATTAATCCATATATATATATATATATATATATATATATATATATATATATGGATCAATTGGTTAATTGGTTGATCCATACTGGTTGTACACGGCGCTCAAGGCGCTCTGCCAAACATGCCAAAGCTCGGTCTACGGCGGCGAGATGCTGAGCGGGCGCTCAAGCGCGTGGGATATGGAGCTTGTTTCAGGGCGCGTTGGAGAAACAAAGCTATCGTTCTCGACGAGCACTTCATGAGATTAAAGAGCGAGAGACGGCGTCCTTTTCTTTACAGTAGCTGAACCATCTTAACGGGGAAAATAAGTTATTCTAAAAGGAGCCAAAGATTTAAGGCGTGGATGGCAAGGGGGCAGCGGGGGCGGACGCACCTCGCAGCATCAATCGGACCCTGAAAGTGTAAGGATGATAAAAATGATGTATTATTGTTGCATTGAATGGGTTAATATACGGTAAAATATACTTAAAATGTTCATAAAAAGGTTAGTTAAAAGGCACTAATGGTCTGTAGAGCAGTGATTCATTGTTCGGTGGTTTAAGTTTCACTTTAAGTTTAGGTATCAGTGCAATCAGATTGATTGCTAATGCCTCATTCAGGGACGATCTGTGAGCGATTGCTAATGCCTCGTTTTGCCTACGAACGGAGCGTGTGGCGTACGGTCGTTCATTACAACTATGGCTGACACTGAGCTGCATCGTGTCCGTGTCGTATGTCATATTTCCTCTTTTACAGGTAAGAACGAGTGTTGTATTAGGGTTGATCAATGTATATATGTGTTTCAATACTGTAAGAAACATGCGGGAGTAGATGTTAATGATGGTAATCATCTAGCAGTCTAAACGTGAAGAAGTGTTCATCTAGTGTAGCGTGCATGCTAGCTGTGTAGCACGTGGCGTAGCCCATGGGCTGGGCTCAAAGCGGGACGTAATAGAACACCGCAAGTGCCGGTTTCTCTGTGTGTATTTGTTTTATATTATAAGGATAAGGTAAAAGTGTTAGTATCGTATAAGCTAAAGAGAGAGTGTTTAATGTGAAAAGGAAAGAGTCTTGTACTTTTTTTTTCAAGGTTATTTTCCCATGTTGTTTTACGATGTTGCAAACATATTTGATATTTTGGTAACTCACTTTAAAGGCTGGTTCAGGTCATTTGAGTAATATGGAGCCATAACTGATCGAATTGTATTTGTCTTAATTGTATAATCTCTTAAAAAGACATTACCGCAAAGGGAAAATAACATGTTTAAGTGCGATACTGAGTGTATAAATGTGTTATTATGCTTTTCATGTTCATTACAACCATGGCCGACACTGAGCTGCATCGTGTCCGTGTCGTATGTCATATTTCCTCTTTTACAGGGGCGTAACAAAAGCACCGTGTCCACCTTACTGTCAAAAAGAACAACAGCGAGCGTGTAGAAAACTTCTCCTCGCGAGCAACGAAGTTCACGTTTCGCAAGGGAGCAAATACCTCGCGGAGACAAACTTTTGCTCGCGCGAGACTGACTTTTGCTCGCGGATGTTTGATTTTGGTAAAATTCTTAAGGTCATTTAATCATTATGTTTTGATCAGAGTTGTGATTAAAGGTTTTCAGATTTCAAATTGGGCCGCGGCATTCTTGAGTTTGGGAACCGCTGCTTTAGAGCCTAGAGCTTGTGTTTGTGAGCATAGATCTCACGAACATTATAGAAAGACAGACAGACTTCGTTAGACCTGTTTGTGATACAGCAGAATGAATCTAAACTCCCACGACGGGGGGGTTGCCGATGTTTGACGGCAACCCTCTCACTTTCAGGCTACTCATGCTTCGGTGAGTTTGAGTGCGCGCTTCCTTAGTTTAGCTCAGCTGTCTCAGTGTAACTGTTATCAGAAATGACCGTATGAGAAAGGCTTTGCTGCGTGACAGTGAATTAACCCTGAACAAAGCTATTATAATCTGCCGCATATATGAAATGAGACTTAAACCTCAAGCAGGTACATGACCGGCCAGTCAAGATGAAGGTTGGTACGGGTGCAAAGTGCAATGTAATGTCAATAGACACTTTCCGACAGCTGGCTAATGGCAATCGACCAGTGGAACACAGTAAAGACATCAATCTAGTGGCCTATGGAGGCAGCAAGATCGAGACTGTAGGCTTGGCTAGACTGC